CAAAAAGTATTAAAAGATGGGGCTTCGAACAGTCGTGTTGGACCACCAAAACCGTCACCATTAGATCAACAGTATTTAAAGCTTTCATCTTTGAGAGAGAGGAGAACATCAAGCTCCACTCTTGCTTCAGATCTGAAAAAAATCCACAGGTGTTTCTGTTGATCCTTCCGCTGTGAGAAGACAGCTCAACCTTATGGGTGTAAAAGGATGTGTAGCTGACAAGAAGCCATTTCTGAGAAAAGGAAAAAGACACAAAAAAAGACAAGCTAGAACACCAAAAGTGGACATCTGAGATGTGGAGGAACATTTTATAGACTGATAAGTATACATTTTTATGCAAACAACTACTAAGACTGAACTTTGGAGACTAAACTTGAAACTTTATTTAGTTGTTGAGGCTTCTGTGTAATTTTCTGTTAAATTGTGTATTTTTGCTTTTTTTTCAGTAGCTGAAAAATATACCAAAATAATTTGTACTTAATGGTTGTTTTGACCAGAAATGAAATAAGCAAAAGTGTTCTCTCTGACTTTTAGACAGTACTGTACACACCCCCACACAGGTGTTCATGGCTGCTTATAGCAGGATATTATTGGTCCCAGTGTTGAACAGGGAAGTGGACCCCTTCTTTCCATAGTATTGTCCCTCTTGGCCTTTTTTTCTTTAAAAAGCATGAATTACAAGGCCTTTTTTCAAGCAGCATTTGTACGGAGTGTTCACTCTTGCCAGCCAGCCAGCCCCCTCATTTTCCTTTTTTTTCCCTTTGGTGTGTTACTGAATCTCTGTGACGGCCAAGATTTTTGCTAAATGATTCACACCCTCTCACAGCACGCCATGCTTTCTCCCTTACGCACCTAACAATTCTCTCACACACTTGCGCACACGACTCACTGGTTTATTCACATGAGCATGCCTCTTGTGGGCCAGGGTGTAGTGTATATAAAAGCTGTATCGAATTGCGCCCATGCTTTAATTGGACCGGCGGTACAGTGCACCGCTGTCACAATGACAAATCAGCCTTTCAGGGCCGGAGGAATGCCCTAACCGGCGGCCTGTCAGTGGACGCAGGGGAAGAAAAAGTTAATTGTGCTCTGGCCCACGTTCAAGCATTGTCGTAATTGCGAAGAAATTTCGAGGAGTGTTCGGCACCGAAGCTTTATTTGTTCACCTCCTTCCCCTGTTTTAAAGGCGGCTGAATAGGGCCCACGGGTATCCAGAGACCCCCCTGAGACCAGGCCTCTCTCTCTGCATTTCCTGGACTCTGGTTCTCACTGCTTGTCGAGCTGATTTTGTAAGAATAGTTTGATGAAAAAATCTTTACCTTCTCAATCAAGTAGTCAATCAACCAAGACATATTTGGTGTGTGAAGTTCACTTCTGTAGTTTTGTTATACCCAATCAATTAGCATCGTGCAAACTGCATATCTAAATCACTACATTCTTACCTCAAACCATGATGAGTAAAATTCTGGCTTCAAAAAGGCAGCTACTATTGTTTTAAGCTATGCAACAGACTTGTGTCCATTTTTCTGGAGGTATTTTATAGATATAGTGTCAGAAATCACAAGTCTATTTGACATCAACTAACAACTTGACACATGATAATTTAGGTTTGCAGTTTGAACAATGCTAATTGGTTGGGTAAAATCTTCTATTATGTGTTGGCCACATTAGCCTCGTAGCTTCAGTGCAAAGCTAAAGAAGCAACTTCAGACACCAAACATTTGGGCTAAGGGACTGTGTAAATTTGATTTTTCGCCAAAGTTTTCCTTTAAAACTTATAGTTATTTTAGTGTCAGGCTTTCCTTGCCAACACCACCACCAAGAAACTAGCGGTGGAAGTGAAGTCACCCCAGAATGAAGTCAGTGGCAGCATAATGAAGTAGCATGTGGGCTTGGTATATGTTGGTGCAGGGATTCCCAAGCTTTTTCATGCCAGAACCCACATGTAGAGGTAGTTTTTATCCTGAGACCCACCAAATGTTTTATGAAGTGAAAGAAGACATAAACTTATCTGTAAGTTCATAAGCTTTCAGTTCACTTTTACTCAGTATACTTCTCTTTCCATTAATGAGCACAGCAGAATACCATGAAAAAAGAATGAAACATGCAAAGGCCTACACTGTTACATGTTTAGTGAGATAGTGGAATAACAATAAAAGATGAAAAACAATGGAAGAATAAAATATTTTTCTTTATTTAGATTTAATACATTGATCTCTTCAGTATGAAAACATGAATATATTTTGTTTAGATGATCCGTGTGGTCAGATAGCTTAGTAAGTACCCAGCTCTGTACACTGAACATTCCTGCTTCATGTGTTATCGGGAAATAACTCATACCGAGTCACAAACTGAATCATTTTGTACAAGTGGGATTTAGTTCATGGGGAAAAAGCAAAAAGTGGACTTGAATCTTTGAGTGTGGCACTCTTGTGTGCACTTCATTCCACATGTTAAATGTAAAAGGTCAACAGGCCACATTGATATCACAGGTGTGCTTTGGAGGTGGTGCGGTGTAGAAACAGAGTGGTTCCTGCCTCCGACCTAAAATGCGCCTAATTTTGCTCTTTTTTGTGGAAAAAAAGCTATATGCCCTGATCCAACTTCCATGTGACCCACAGTTTGAACACCACTGTGTTAGTGGACTTCTCCATGATGTTCAGGTTAAGAGGCTTAGTGCAGCAAAGGGGTATGTTTAGTTTCTTATAAATGTGTGATAAGAGACTGTGCATTGTCTGTAGTCTGTGTTTCTTTTATTATAAATTTAATTGAATTGCTGTCGTTGCAGTGATTCCACTGAAGTTAGGCTGGATTCCGATTCACAAGAAGTAAGCTGTCTGGGCCTTGGTATTGGAACTGACCCTTGGTATTTCTGTCCATATGTTTATATGTTTATATGTGTACAGTTTTGTCTGTTGTGTAGTTGTTGTGTCTAGCACACAGTGAGTCTATGGAGTGTGCATACTGCTTTGGGACAGAGGAAAGCTATGTGAGAAATGTGGTGCTGGGGGGCTGTGTGTGTGCTATTGTATGTACAGTCTATGTCTGCGCACATGCACTAGTGTGTGTGTAGTCTCTGAGAGAAAGAGGCTCTCTACAGCTGGCTTGACAGGAGACACTTCCACACATAGCTGGAGTGCCTCTCTTTAGTGGTCTTTTATTACTGATATCCTCCTGCCCTTTCTCATAACTCACTGTTCATATTTGCGTCTTGCTCACGGCCCATTTCCCAGACCTCAGCGTGAGCAGCTAAATGAAAAGTTGTTTTAGCCCCTTTTTGGGAAGACGAGCCGAGATTACGTGCCTGGGGTCTCACTCTTAAAAATAAAGGTGCCAAAAAAAGGGTTCTTTGGAGACTTTGAATGGATGGAACCATTTTTGTAAATGAGATGTGCAAGTGTGAAGAATCCTTTTGAAAAAGATATTCTCACCGAGATGTTCTCATAAAGGCTCTATAACATTTTTCACCAAAGTTAGCAATCCTTTAACCAGGATTTTTCCCAGAACCGTAAAAATCCTAGCCAAGAACTGTTTAGGAACCTTTGTTTTAAAGAGTGTGGGAGTTGCTGTGGTCAGTGCACACTAGACTCCAATCTTCATAATAACACATGAATCCAAATAGGTGTGCAATAATGTGAGACAAAGATCAAGAGCTTACAATCAGTAGCCTTGATTGGTCTTGGATCACATGTTGCCCCTGTTATTTTGCGGAATTTCCTGGAATATTAAAGTTGTCAGGTCAGTTTGGGACACATGATAGTGTGTGTTTTGGCTTGGCTTTTTCAAAATACTGTAAATCAAAACCAGTAATGTCAGAAATTTGAAACAGGGTGGGAATCTGATCTGACTAATTGTGAGGTTCTGTACATGTGAGGTACTACATGAATTTTCAGTTAACCATGGAGAAACATTTTGAAACTTTTGCCAGCATTGAAGTACCATAAGAAAAACATTTTTCTCACTGCAATTCAACTTTCCTCCAGTCAGTGGCTCATATGTCTATGTTTGACGAAAGTAATATGCATAGAGAAATAATGAACTGAAATATTGAACAGAGAGTAAATGCATTAGTGAATGTTAATACGTTAGATTTTTTTCTCCCTGTATATATGTGTACATTTTCACCAATTTTCAATGATGCAACATAATGAATACTCAAACTGTGAGTCAGAATTCAGCATTCAAATAGTGGTCCTTGACTGACTCTTTAGTAAAGACTGTGGTTATGTATGGAACCATGACAACCCAAAGGACCATGTAAATGTTTGTCATGTGCACATAGTATGGAGCGGAGATGGAGTTGATTCTATGTGTGATTCTTTTATGTGTGCCATTCTAGTTATGCTGCAGTTGCCTCCAGAAAGATACAGAGGTCAGTTTTTATATATGTATTCTATTGCAGCGCTCTATTCAGACTCCCCAGACAGTCCACACTTTTGCTTTATGTATTGGGAGCTGGGATACAGCAAAACTTTGAGCCATCTGGAGAGCCCTATGGATGGAATTAAGAAACCACTGCTGTATTGCATTGATTATTATGATTGTAATTACTTGGAAATAATCTTGTTCCATTAACTTCCATTTAAAGTTAAGAACATTTTTTTGTTCTCATGTAATGTTACCACGTTGGAGATACATGTTTTTGACCTAACAGTGATGATACATTCTGATATCTTTTCTTGGATACTATACAGAACCTTTTATGGTAGTTCAGTTTTAGCAGGGAGTGTACAGCATACTGGTTTCCATCTGCTAATGTCAGAGGCCAGACTTTTTCCTTTTGTCACTTTTAAGTAGGACAACATAATAGAACTGTTACCCAGTTCTTCTATCCATTGTTACTCTCAGGAGGATGTGTTCTTCTTCTTAGTCTTAGTTCCTCTTAGCTCTTTCACATAGGCTTGTTCATTTGGTGCCTCTTCCTAAATTTCCCAAAGCGCTATATATTAAAAAGTACATTGAATTGTGTACTTACCTTTCCCTGTTTCTCTCTCTTCCAGACCTGGCAGATAATTTGGCGATGGACGACCTCACCTTTCATGAGTTGCTCCTGACTCCCAGACTGGCCACGGACACACACGCCGGGGCGTCTGTTCCTGGAGCAGCACAGGCCGCAAGCATCCACTCCCATATCTTCTTGCTAACCGTCATCATCTTCCTCCTCTTTGGACTTCATTGAACCTTCCAACTGTTTTTTTACCCACAGTTCCCCTCCAGAATTCCTCCCCATCTGCTCCCAACTGTCCTTCAAAAACTGAAAAACTAGTTGGACCAGTGATTTAAAAGGACTCTGCAGCTGCTCCTTTGTACATACAGTTTCTTGAAAGATGATCTAGAGTGAGGACAGAGGACCCTTTCTCTCTCAGCGCGCGCAATCTCCAGTCTTACTTAATGAACGTCTGCTACGTCTACAAGGATCTGTTTGGTTGCCAAACCATTAAATCGTATTCTCTCCAGAGCATGACAAATACTACATATACCCAACTGTAACCGCCTTGTGCTTGTATTACAATCTACGGTCACGTGTTTTACATGGGACATTATTTCCTCTCTGCTGTTCACACATGGTTTTACACAAAAGCCAGAGACTCCTGTAGGTAAAGGACCTAACCCTCTTTTTTTCTCTTTTTTTGTGATTTAATGGACTTTCTTGAGGACTAGGAACTGTGACTAATGGGGTCTGGGGAAATGTAGTGCTTCTCCGGTGGGCACGGACTCTGATTTCTCAAACAAACATACACACACACACACACACACACACACACTGCATTGCCGCCCACTCCTGCCACTCATTTCCTGTGCAGTAAATGACCCTTGGAGGAGATCAAGGGATTGGTGTGTCGTTGTGAAACCTTCTCACTGCAGGGTGACACCCAGCTGCATTTCATTTGGAAAAATAACGTTTTATTAGGATGGTAACTTTCCTTTTCACAACTGTGCTATCTCTCTTTTGCCTTCTCACCCCCTTTTTGCTTTTTATCTTTCATTGGAGACATCTATCGTATTTCTCCCTGAGTCTTTCTTTGAGTGCCAGGTCATGCCCTAATGAAGTCTGTATTATAGCAGGGTGATTAAAGGTTTGGTCTGTGCTGAGACCCCTAAACATCCTGCTCTTGTCTTTGCTTCTGCTCATAGGTTACCATGGCAACGGCATCCAAGAAAGGAAGCGCTCTGTTGATGGCTAGATAGATCTGTATGTTTCAAGTGATTGACCATTGTGTGTTTTGTTCCCCTTAACACGTTGTCATTTAAAGGGCTAATCCTGTTATTTATATTATTTATGAGTGATATTCAGATACTTTCTTGGAGAATATATTGCTTAATTTAAATGATACCTTTTTGATTTCCATTTAAATCTATTGTTCAAATCATATTACTCCTTCTTTTGCCTGTGGTGTTCTCAACAGGGTGAACAAACAAGTGTGAAAACTGTTTTCTTCCTTTTGTTTCAAGGGCCGATTTGAGTTTGTTTCGTGGCAACAAATTTTGGTGTGTTTTCTCTTTAGAGTTCAACTTTTGTAGGTGTTTAAGAGAAGGTGAGAGGTGGTTGAAATGAACAAGATAGTATTTACTGTCTTAATCTGTATTTAAAGCAGGCTCGGAAGCTTGGAAGCCCTGGAGCGAGAAGCTTCTCCTTCCTTCCTCCTTTGAAAGCAATAGGCAAATAAGGTCAAGTAAACAACCTAGGATTCAAGAATGACATCATAAAAAAACTCAGCCTAAGTCGTCGGTTCCCATCCAGTGTGTATTACCTTGCTTATTACACGTCAGCCAGTAGTGGATTGTGTTAAGAAGTCCTGTAATTAAACACTGCATTCCCCCGTTAGTGTTTATACCATGGCTGATTGTGTAGTGGGGGAGCGGTCTGGGACCATTTGGCTTTGAGCTCTGGATACAGCTCAGCTCAATAACCAGAGCGCTGCAGAAGGACTTTAAAACTGGGCCTTACATTCATTGCATGTTACGCTACCCAAGTTCAAGACTCAGCAATGGGTTGGTTTTTGAAGTATGTGGCAACCTCGCATCACGTACGAACCAGATAATGTTGTTTTCTGGCTTTGTTGCTGCACACACACTCTGATTTAAGAGTCTCCATGTAAATTAAAGTGAATAAATATGTTTCGAGGTTTTGGCTGTGAATTCTTTTTGTGTTTTTTCAGAGTTGTTTTCTCACGTTTGTGTGCTTTCATGTTTGTTTATAAGACACAAGGGGACTTTATGAAGTTGGAATGTGGGTCTTTGGATTAAAGATTATGGGTAACATTTGTTGTTTGTGTGTGCCTTCTCACTCTCGAACAGAGAGAGCTGTTTTTGATATCGATGTTTACAACTGCCTTTAAAACACAGTTAAAGGGGAATCCCACCGATTTTTCAGAATTTCAGCATTTTTCAATGGATGTAAACAAAGTCATTCAGAGTGGTTTGATGTGAAATTATGTATTGTGGAGAAACTTACCAGCTCAAATTTCTTTACAGTGGTGGTGATAGGAACCAGGGGTTGTGATGTGTACAACACAAATATAGCCATTTCATTCAACCCACCAGTGAACCTGCATGTGTCTTAATAGTGTCAAACCATCGTTGTCAGAACAAAACCAAAATGTCCATTTCTGTCGTTTTTACTGCTTTTTACAGAAATTTCAAAGACCAATAGACTTGGTCCAAAATGACTTAAATCTTGTTAAATCTACTTGCATTTAAAGTTAAGAAATTTTTTCTTTCTCCTGTAAAAATACTTTTTTGGAGATGAGGTTTTGTGTATTATTTTGCCTTATAACATCCTGCATGTACATCTGCTATGAATAAATTAAAAAAATACGTTTCAGACCAAAATCTATTCAAAACTGTAGTAAAACAATGCCAGACATCAGGCAGCATTGTTGTTACCATTTCATGTAATAGCTTTCTGTGAGGTAACTGTTGGAGTCATTAAAGTCTTCAGTCGTCTGGTTCCTATCACCACTGCTGTAAACAATTCTCACAGTTTCTCTGGAACAGCGCATTTCACGTCTCACCACTCTAGATGGCTTTGCTTACATCTTTACTATTTAGTTTTTGCAGAATTTAGTAAATTCCCCTTTAAGGTATGAGGAGTCACATGAGAGCACTTATATAAAGAAAATACAGTCTCCTTCATCAACACCTTTGATCTGAGCGAAGTGTCAGACACACCTATAGAGCAGCAATTTTGCTTAAATGTTTACCTTCAAATCCCCCCCCCCACCAATGTATTTAGAAGGCTCTAATTTATTTCCCATTACCCGCATAATCTGGCCACCTAAGTAACTGTGTGGCCACACACCCTGAGGCAGTGTCTTTGCATTTTCACACTTGCTCTTCTCTCCCTCAGAGCCAGATAAAACTCGCCCATCTCCAGCTGTGTCTTTCTTTTGGGCTTGCGCAGCACCTTTAGAATGGTAAAGAAAGCCTGCTTATCAGGCCTGGGCAAATGGGGGGCTGCAGAGAGGGAGGCAGCAACTGAGCTGACCCCAACTCCTGCCTACACTCTGAATGTTAATGGGGACAGGAGAATGGGCAAACAGGCCCATTGAAATGCGCAGGTTAAATGTTTTCTTAGGGTAATAAAGTGGCAATACAAGGACAACCCAATTTTAGGGTCAACTGGTCCACATTATGTGGGGGTGAATGGGGGCCATTGGGGGCTCAGTGTAGACTGATTTATCTATTACTGAGAACATCAATTAGGCTAATGTTAACAGATATTATCAGTTCATTGTTATCAACTGTGAAATCTTACTTTGACTGTGGGCCTGAAACATGTAAACATACATAGATCAGATAGTAATGTCAGAGTAGCTTTCCATGGGATATCCAACTGTAACAAAATGTTTCACAATGGCTAGATCCTATTGAAATGTTAATGGAACTGATGTTGCTCCAATGGGCATTTCTAAAACAAAAATCATTCCCTTTTACACTGAAAACCATTCATTCATTTGCTCCTGTAAGCCAGAGCCACAAATTTGTCCGTTACTGAATGTTCTGAGGCAACGAGCGCTCACCTTTTGTTGTCCATTGAAAGTAACACCAGTCCACTCTCATATCCAGTCAACGGATCCCCAGAATTCTTCAGTGGCTTCCCATTGGCCGCTGGCTTTCCAAGCCACAGTCGCTCAGAATGAATGGGGTCGGCTGAGGAATGTGGGGACACAATAGTCGGAATGTGATTTTGCTGGGAGCCTCCCCCCCAGACCAAGCACACAGCCACAACGAAACATACACATGCTTTCACAAATCCAGACATGTTGAGTCCCTGAGTGTGCCCTCAAGTTCTGTGTGAACTTTGAAGGAAACAATGGATAAAAATCATTACCAGTATTCACTAAGTGCTAGATTATGTTTATAATTTACAGAGGCAATAAATACCATCTTTAGGTTTTGGTGTCAGTCGTATATTATTGGCTCACTGCTGGTGGACCAAATGGCTTGTCACAACATAGGAAGTCACATGCACATCTGACCTGCCCACTTTAGAAACGTCACTCAAACAGTATTCTAAACCTAATCTAACATTAAGTAACATCTAAATCTCACACTGAGTAACCTTTTTACAGAATATATGTGACCTTCAAGTACAACAAGATAAATCCAATACAATTTTACATTTTACAGGGCCCAGCCAATATTTTTCTTGTATTTTATATTTTTCGCCAGGTCCACTTAGATCATTTAGATCATTTCACAGGCTGTTTTTTTTTTTACTGTGCCTTTAAGACAGTTGTATATAAATGGCCCTGGTTCTGATTGGCTGCCATGTATTACATCTCATTCAAAAAGCAATACAGGTTGAAACACTTATAACTACAACATGAACTGGCAGGGCTACACTGCTGTAGACTGAATAGGCAGATATACATAAATACATTCTTTTTTGTGACATCACAAAACAATAAATTCAAAATGGGACGTTTTCACGGCTTTTCCATATGTGTGCTATATTTACAGGAGAGAATAGTTTTGAAACTTGAAAATGTTCACATACTACATCGAACAGATTTATTCCAAAAAATGCAGACAATTTTGTTTTTCCAATATATGTGGTTTACATTTTATTTTTTACTTTTTTGTTCATTTATAAGCACTAAAATACACTAAAAATTAAAACAAAACATTTCTAACTTAGCCATAATTAAGAATCAATTTTTTGTATTTTTTGTAAAAATCATCACACAGTACTTAAAAATGGTTTACATGACACCAAAAAATGTAATAAGGAAAATGAATGAACTACTGGTTAACACTTTGGATGGTTAATAACAACAAACATTGAAGTGACTTAGCTGTCCCTTAGATTCTTGTGTATTCTTTATTTTCTTGAGAAAAAGCAAAAAAGAAAATGGCTAAATGTCAGAGTCTACTTATACTTTATTCCATACAGTATAGGCTCAGCAAATAATGTATATTAAGTGAACACTGTCTGTTTCTCCTCCTCACTTGCCAAGTCGGCCTAATCTTAGGAACCGCACAACAACCGCACATACTTGTGATATGTGTCACAAGATTTTGTGTGAGATTTATGGTCTGCGGCTCCTCTTGAGTCACATTTTACCTCTGCGAATGGCTATGTTGTCACCGTGAGCCGCCACACTCTGAGTGAGATGTTTAGCACTGTCAGTCGTACAGAAGCATGGCTTGGATTCCACTGCCTCCCTTCTCTCTCTGGAACTGTCAGTGGGCTGCTATCCAGCGCCCAGACTTTACAGCACTCTGTCACATTTCATGACATGCAGGCACATCAGAAGGTTGCATGTGTTTGCTGCTCTTTTGATGAGCTGAGGCCAGCCAAGGCCATTTAAACAGATCTCAGAGCCTTTTACTTCATCATGCTTTTACCATTTATTCATGTGTAGCATGTAACAACCTTGTTATAGGTCTATAAAGTGATCCGGTCGCTTGAGTTCAAGTGTTACATTTGGTCTAATTATATGTTGCAAGAGTGTTTCTCAGTCCTGGTCTTGGTTCCCCCTGCACTGCACATTTTAGTGGTTTCCTTGCTTTCAGCACACCTGATTGAACTAATCAGCTAAAGAACAAGTCCAACATGAGTATAAAATTAGTGTTAGAGCACTTCAAAACCAGAACTGGGAAACACTGCTGTACCAAGTCTTGTATTATTTAAGCATAAAGGTAATGTATAATCAAACAGATACATTGCATATTCATGCTTCAAACAGGACTTTTCTTTCACACCTGTATATTTTGCAATTTTTTGCAAGAATCTTGACTCACGTACTTGTATATTGTCCACATTTTGAACAGCATGTTATCATGTCCCATTTTGCACTTATTAGTACTATGGTAGGTTATATGTGCAAGATACAAAATCATCCATTATTCTATTCCTCAATACTGTAGCGTGTTGAAGAAATGGTGTGTTAAGTGTTCTTCAGCATTTATTGCACATGGCTCATTTTCCTGTGGATTCTGAATGGCGAGGGAGGGACTATGAATTGCCCCAGTGGTTCATGTGTGGTGGAGAGAGAGGAAGCTGGATAAAGAAGGAGTTATCAGAGAAAAACTTTGTGGCTGTAACCGACAACAGCTGGAAAATAAAGCACTGTGCTTCTTTTACTAGTAGTGAGTGCTACAATACAATCATGGCATATTCGCACCCGTGCCAGTCATACCCCACCTAATCTATATTGCTTTAAATAACCTGTGCAATTAGATGCAAACTTGCAGACTGCAAAGAAACTGCTCAAATGATTAATGATCTGTTGATGATCTCACAAAGAAAATGCCGGTCTGGGATAAATGCCACTTAGTTTGACGATCTGTCTTATGACATAATGAACTGTATAACATTTTGAAGCATAGCACAAATGACCCCAAATGTTTGTTCCCACTGTATGTATAATGTAAAACCCTTTGTGGTTGTGCATTGTGTATGTTGCCAATTGTTTGTTTACTAATTGTTATCATGTAATGTCCATTCACTTGAGGACCAGTTTAACCAAGGCTAATGAATTGATGTATTCAGACATTTCTATTAACTAATTTCAGAATACAGGCCTTGAATATTATGTTGTTTATAGTGAAACAAGCCTCAGGCCTGCTTGGTGAGATATGGTGGTCACTGAAGAGTCCTCTCTAGAGTTAACCCTTTATTCACCTGAAGCTCCTCCGCCATGCTCCTCATGCCCCTCCCCGCCTCTTTGTCCAGCCCTCTGCTCCGGTGATCGCGCGAGTGTCTCCGCCGAGACTCCGTAGCGCGAACAAGCAGCAGCGAGGCAACGCGGCCACTCCAGCCTGCTGCTGTCCAGCCTTAAAACCTGCAGCGCTGAGGAGAAAAAACTTCTTACAAACTTTATTTCTGTTCTCCAAGACTTTTCTCACGCGGAGCCCGGTCGGACTGAACGGCTTTCCAACGAAAGCGGTACCACAAGTAACTTTTTACGGCGAGTTTATGTTTTTTTAACGTACGTGAGGTGCTAGCGCTGCTCTCGGACGACTGGCTTTTGTTTTTTTAACCAGTTTGAACAGATTTTTTTTATTGCACCGCGAGGAGCGACCGCGTTAGAACTGAGTTTCTGTCTTTTCTCGAATGGTCGCCCTCATTGTGTAGTCGCTAAAGAGTTTTACTCTTAATTCTTAAAGGGCTGAAGGCGGACTGTCCTCGGAGAGTAACGTACACAGCTCGAGCTGAACGGCTTTACAGAAGTGAACTAACTTCAGCACAGAGAGTGAGAGAGAGAGACACGGCGCATCTCTCCATGAGGAGCTCCAGCGCGGGAGCAGAAGTTTTCTCCTAACACAGGCTGAGTTTTCTCCTGTTTTTTCGGTTTTTGTTCGAGTGGGTGCTCCATTAGTTCCACACAGCGATGAAGACAGCTGTTGCCTTCGCTGTTTGTGCGTGTGTCGTGATTTTGGTCTCCGCCGCGGTTGAGCAGAAGTCGAAAAACTGCAATGAAGTCAGAACCGCTTACAGCTCGAAAGGCTTCAACATCAACGACGTCCCCAACAAAGGAGTACACGGTAAGCTGGAGCCTCCAGGGGCGAAGGAGCTGCTCTCTGAGTGACTCACCGACTGCTATAGTTTTACGAGTGTTGTAAAGTCCTCGACCATAGAGCGGCCTGGGCTGCAGTCAGCAGAGCAGACACGACGTTGAAAGCTTTTGCTTCTTTTAACCGGCAGGGAACGATTTAAGAGCAGCTGATAGTTTTACATTGCAGGGCGCATCAAGCGGCTGCTTTTATTTTCTCTGATTAGGTGCTGTTCTTGTACCGCTGCCTCCTTATATTACTTCCTGCTGCATTAAGGAGAAAAGCTGAATGTCCTGTTGCTTCAGCCGCAAGAGCTAAGCGCCTTTTACAGATAGGAGCTTCTTGTTCGTTTTCTTTTTCTAATAAGAACCAAACCAGAGCTACAGATTTGCAGAAGACTCCCAAGTTTACTTTCCCAAGCTTGGTATCAGTGTTCTTTATATCCCTCCTTTGTGCCGGTGTGTTATTCTAGTCTGCCATTAGAAGCGAGAGTCAGGCGTTACACTCCTCATTTTAAATCCGAACCTTATCGTGGCAGGACATAATGGTAATGTAAATGGGCTGATTTTTATCTTGATGCCAGCCGGCCGTGGAGGCGGGGAGGAACCAAGTTTCCAAGCTCTAGCTTTTCAGCGTGGTCTGGGATGAGAAAGGCTCGCCCCAGGACACGCTTTGTTTTTATTGTCTGTCTTATTTCCCTGGAGTAAAGGGAAAGATCTTGCGACTTAGCAGAGCTGAATATCCCCTTGATCCTCCTTCAGAGTGGAGTGGCAGGTCGGAACAGAGAAGGGAGAGGAATCTTCTCAAAAACTTTTAAAACTAACTTTCTCAAAACTCCCGTCATGAATACCGTAAAAGCAGTTAATTCTGATTTTCAGTTTGTTACAGTCGTACCACACATTCCCAACATTACAGTACTAGAAATGTGTCCACTAGGGCTGAACGATTGGGGAAAATGTCTAATTGCGATTTTTCTAATTATGTGACTTAAGTTAAAATTGAGATTATTTTTATAAATTAAGGTTCGGGCCTGGTTTTTATTTTTTGACAAGAAGACCGGATTGTCCTCTTTTTCTGGCTTAAAGGCTTGACCTCTGAACGTAGTGTGCTAGACTGGCAGTAAGTTGTGGTTGTGATGTCACAACACACACAGGTTTGGTTTGATGTGATTGGTGTAATTTATGTGCAGGAAGTTCACAAGTGTTATTAGGTTAAATTTTCCCACTTAAAATTTAAGACATTGTTTTTGATAATGTCGGCTATAATAATAAAAAAAAAAACGCAGTGATGTAAAAAAAAAAATTGCGCTCTTTATTTGTCATTTTAATATAAAAACGATTAATCTTTCAGCCTTAGTCCACATTATGAAAAAACACTAACAGTAAAGTACTGTAGTTTCACAAAGTCTCTGCCATGAATCAAACTTTGTTGGCTGTCTGTTTTTTTTCTCAGTAGTAATGTGAAAGCGATCCTTCTTCCATTGACTTACAGTCAATCAGCAAGTTTCTAAAGTGTTGCAGTGTAATGCAGTTTTACTTCAGGTTGGATGCCATTATTTTGATTCACAACCGTTCCATTAAAGTTTAAATGATCAAGACTTCTTTTTTCTCTGTCAGACAGAATCCTGTTATTTTAAATAGTGCTAAGTTGTGTTTCATGTAAGAATTAGAACAGCTGCCTCATTCATCAAAACCATTGGCTCTTAATTCTCCTCATACTTTACACCAGGCAAAAGGCTCATTGTTTTTCCTGGTGTATCATTGTGATGTAAAACTTCACTGAGTGCACGCCAACTTTTCTGGATTTGTCAAGTTGTATTGTAGCAGGCCTCCAGTTTTGTTGTGATGGTTATAAAACAAGGTATTATAAAGGCTTATTAAGAGGTTTGGGTGCTATGCACGTGTGCTGCTCACAAAAGCGCCCCAATATGCTTGGACTCTGTGCAAGGCCAACCTTAGCAAGCATATCTTTGTCAATAATAGAGCCTGAGATAATTGATCCAGAGAGAGTAACAAGGTCTACTGTCGCTGAGGGGTGGAGGCTTCTTAGAAAGCAGAAAGGAAACACAAAAGCTCTGCTTTTGGATAACAATGTCTCCTGTTGCTAGGGAGAAAATGGTCCACAGGAGAACCTAATTGAACTGGCAGTGTCCCCTCTTGGTTTTGGCTTTCAGACCTAGCCCTTTTCACCTGGTAGTCAAAACATCTATTCTCCATACTTCTGTAGTCTTGAATCCAAATTCCATCCACAGTTGGACTGAGGACATCCAGCACATAGTACTGAGGAGACGTATGGTCAAAATTATATTCTTCGCAGGCCAAGTTTTCCGCTTTTCTGCGATTAATCAACAAGGGTATTATTACTTACCCACTCTAGATTTGTTCCCCCCCTAGATGGAGCATTCCAGCCAAGAAGACCATATGAACCTTGTGTGTCATCAAAACAACCCCATTAATTTAGATGATGTTTTTGATTGTGAGTGTTGTAAATCAGACAAATACAGTGCTACTCACTGTAGACACAAGCTCTAAAATGACGAGTGTTCCTCCGACCACAAGCATCTTTTGTTTTCAGCTTGTGGCAGAGAGATGACAGTATTTGTCCACTAAATCTGTTGCCTCACAATTAAGAGCTAGTACTTGTGGTGTTTTGCACATGATTCAGGGAAAGATTTCTAAGAAGCAATAAAACAGCACTGAGCAACTTATGCAGATGCCTTAACCAAATGCAGTGTTATGTTACGTTTGGAAAAAGTTCTTTCCAGTGTTTTTTCTAAATTAAGGCTGGCACACCTAATGCTCAGAAGTATTTTTGAGATTTGATTTTATTTGTTTGTTTATTTATTTATTTTGGTGATTCATTTCCTGGATGCCTCATTATTAGTGTTATTCTGGTCCTCTGTGGACCTCTTGACTCCAAGCAATAACAGAAATATATCTCATTCTTTTTGTTTTTTACTTTAAGTAAATAGCTGTGTTGTTAGTAAAGTAAGAACAATTAGAGTTGAAGTTGTGGCTGAGAAAAGCTGTGAAGTTTCTTTTGCTCAATGTTGTAATAGAGCTCATTCATTGAAGAAAGAGGTCTTCTTTGCCAGATGGGGCAAAAGATGTTTATTCACTGGCCAGAGGGTCTCCACAGATCCTTTCTGTTTGAGAGATACCAGGGATTATAACATCTTAGAACACCTCATAGCTCTTTAAGCCCTGAAGTACACAGTTCCCTGCTGAGCTTTCACATCCTTCAATTCCATAACCAAACCAAAGATGGGTCTGTCCTTTTAGAGAAAAGGCCTACTGTTTATGATAGTTAGGATTGGCCTAGATCTTGTAAAATGTGTGCTTTGAGTGACTGCTGCACAGTGGCGGGTAGAGACTCTTCAAAAGATGCAGAAAAGGGGCGGTTAACACCAACCAGATTGGTATCTCCCCATGTCAACAGTCTCTCTTTGGGAGACGGCACACTTCCCTGCAGTAGAGCAGTCTGTTTTTGCTTTATGTTGGCAGCTGGGTCTTATGTCATGCCTCAGGTATGGACAATGGCGAAGATCAAAGATGCTTCCTCCCTTCCTCTCGGAGGATCATCCCAGTCATAATTACTTTAGTGCATTAAGTCTGAAACTCTTGAGAACCAGTGACTTTATCTCATTGCCCTCCTTTTGTGACCCAGATCTGAACAGAATTATAAACATGTTTATTTATATACTTAAATTACTTTAAATCTGTGGTCATTAATGGATGTTTTGTGTGTCTGTTGGCCTCATGGTCTAGTAAATAATTGATGGATACTGCCATATCAGTGAGGAGATAAGACATGAATCCAATGAGAGTCTGGCCATGCACAAATGATGACGTCCAGCAGCTTGTCTTCTATACGCCTTGTCTTTTGCTTTGCCAGTTGTGGTGAGCATTTTTTGATGTAATGTATCATCTAGATTGTATTTCCTTATTTCTCTGTATGACAACAATAAGGTTTTGTTTTCAATAGTGATGCCCTAGGCGCTATGGAGCCTAAGAGTTATATTTCACTTTGTCAGTGACCAAGGATTAAGTCTTTTGTCAGGAAACAGGCCACTAGGATATCAATAGTATCAATGAGGGAAATTGATCCTGGCTTAATGGAAACTTGTTTTTCTTGTTGTTTACAGGATTAAAAGGCTAAGAATATTTGGCCAAAAATATTTTACTTCTTACTGTTCACCCCACTGACCTCAAACCAGGGCTCTGAAATATGCACTGAGGATTGTTTTTACAGTGCTGAAGAGCGAGGAAGAGTCCATCTGCCTGTTTGCCAGTTCTGGCTGTGCACCCTGCTGTTTTCTGCTAAAACAGAGAATAATTGCTGAAGCACAATAATTAAAGAACAGATCACATGTTTGTTTTCACTGTTGCCAGCTGCGTGTACCATTGTCAGCAGAGATATCACCAGGAGTCATCGTGAATTAAAACGATCCGGGACCCTTTGAGAGAATGAACCCCCCGACCCCCCACCTTCCCATTTGCTTTTGATTTGATCAAAATTTTTCAGGAATTAAAGAGGTTAAAATCCAAAGTTAACCATACCTTTTAGATTTTTTTTTGTGTATACTTACAGGACTGTCTGATGATATCCTTTACCTAAATACTTTTTTTTTTTTTTTGCCAGCACTACCATGTATTTCAGGGTGAATATGACCTTGCCACTAACCTCTCATCAATCTACTGAAGGCACCCCATTCATTTAGATAAAAAAAGTAACGTCTATTTTAGGGGATCAGCAGAGTTTTGAGATACTGTTATTTGGGTGGAGGAGAACAAAAGTGAGAATAATCAGAAGCCTCTAGCCATGTGGGAGGCTAAACTGATTCTGCTTGAGCTTGTTCCTCAGACTTGACGCGGCCAGGCTCTGTAGCTGGCTGCCTATAATTGAGTTTGGCTTTGAGATGGAAGTTGTCTTGTGAAATTGGCACACAATAGGTAATGTATGGGTGGGTGGTGGAGAAGGCGGCAGTGGTG